TGGTCCCACTGCTCAAACCGGGGAAACCAGCCAACAAAGAAGAATCTTATCACCCGATAACACTCCTTTCCCTGGTAGTGTGGGTGAGCGCAAGGCAGGGGGAGCGAATCTTCTTTGATCACGACGAGGTCGCCTGGACCGCGTTGTGGGGTTTTCCACTTGTATCTCTTCCAAAGATCCTTGAGGTAATCTTCTTTCCAGCGGCGACTCAATTGGTGGTGAAGTGCTTTGACTTTCTCACCGGTTTAGTAGAGAGAGGTCTTCCGCATTAGGCTCGGGAATGGCCAATAGCGGTGCACCTCGAAGGAAATGACCCGGAGTAAGTGCTGTCATATCAGCTGGGTCTTAAGAAAGTGCGGATAGAGGCCTCGAGTTGAGGACTGCTTCAATTCGCACCAGAAGCGTCGTGAATTCTTCGAAAGTAAAATTGTGGGTTGCAGCGGTTTTCTTTAAATGGATTTTAAAGCTTTTCACTGCAGATTCCCACAAGCCGCCCATGTGGGGGGCGCTGGGTGGTATATATTGCCAGTTGATGCCTTCAGGGGCATATTTTTTGACAATGTCTGCGGAACATTCGTTAAGGAATTTAAAGAAGTCGAGTTCTGTTGCGCGCTGGGCGCCAATGAACGTTTTTCCATTGTCGTTCATCATTTTTGAGGGGAAACCTCGTCTGCCAACGAAGCGGGCGAATGATGCTCAACAAACTCGCTTGATGCATCACAACTCTCCCGGAGTTGTCTCACGGGGCTCTGTATTGCTTTCGGCATACAGAGGTGGTACAAGAGCTACCATTGGCCACAGCGCCTACCCAATTTTCTAATTTGAATAAATAACCGGTGCTCAACACTTACAGAGTTTAAGCGGCAAGCCACAGCGCGGCGGCTTAAAGAAGGGGGGTTCCACACGGTGGTGTCCTTTCCCCACTACTGCTTAACTTTTACATTTCAAAGCTCCCTCAACCATCAGAAGGAGTCTCGATTGTCTCTTACGCCGACGATTGCTCGATGATGGCGTCTGGGTATGGAATTGATGACTTGTGTTCGAAAGTAAACGGATATCTCTCCGAGCTTCCTCGCTTCTTCACTGCAAGGAGCCTAACCCTCTCCCCTACAAAATCCTCTGCGACCTTGTTTACCACCTGGAGGAGGAGGTCAGGCTACTGCTAGGAATTCACGTCGATGATACACCAATTCCGACGGTGAATAACCCCAAAATACTCGGAGTAACCTTCGACAGTCTGCTCTCCTTCTCTGCGCACGCAACCGCTATTGTCAACAAAGTACATAGCCGCAACAAGGTCCTCAAGTCGCTAGCCGGCAGTACTTGGGGAAAAGTCAAAGAAACGTTGCTGGCAACATATAAGGCAATAGGCCGGCCGGTTTTAAACTACGCAGCACCAGTGTGGTCGCCGGGGACTAGTAGGACGCAGTGGATGAAGCTACAGACGACACAAAACACTGCACTTAGGAGAGCGACTGGATGCCTTCTGATGTCGCCAGAATACCACCTGCACGACGAGGCGAAAATGCTCCCTATTAAGGAGCATAACACAATGCTCTGCAAGCAGTTTCTGGTTGGGGGTCACAGACGTGGTCACCCAAATAGACAACTCCTTGCATAAGAGCCCTCGCCCAGGCATGTCAGGAGGCATCTCTACGAACTGACGGACGAAGTCCAGAGGTTCATTAAACAACCTCTGGACCCGGCAGCTTATCGACAGGCCCTGAACGGCTTTCACAGGGAGTCAGTCTCGAGTTATGTAGACTCCAGACTTGTGAATGCCGTTCTAAGCGCACAACCACCGGACATTGACAAGACGGAGCTTCATCTGCCTCGGGAGACTAGAACTACAATAGCCCAACTTCGCTCTGGCTACTACAGCAGGTTAAACCGACACCTGAGCAGACTAGACGCAGATGTGCCAAATGAGTGTCCGGCATGCGGAGAGACACCCCATCACTCGAAACATCTCTTCGTATGCCCGGAAAACCCGACAACCCTAACGACTTTGTCGTTGCGGACCGACCCTACTGAGGCTGCACGCTTCTTAGGGCTTCCGTTAGTGGAGCTTGACGACAACGACGATATTAACCGATATAGGCGGGGGTGTTGTAGCCGCTACAACAACAACAGGTTAAGTTCATCTGATTTTTACTAATAGCACCCCCATTTTGTACAAATTAATTTGAACCTGCAGTTGCCAGCAAGAGATTGTCTTTAAGTTTTTTATGGGATACAAAGTATTTTCCTTCTTCGCAAGAGCCTTTCGCACAGAGGTACCCTTTGAAACCAACAAACCTTGCAACTCGGGCATTTTTCTAACTCCTTCTGCACTTATGTTCACTTTTTTATTCTTCCTATGTCTCCGCCTTTGGTCGGCCCTCGAAAGAGGCATTAGAGTCACAAAAGCCATCTTCTGCGCTACCCGGGTCATGGGTCAACTCTGACGCCGAAGCGTGCCCCATTTTCTAAATCCCCACTAACTCACAAGATGCGAGAAGAAAACAATTAAATTCGTTTACTCTTTAGTATATTAACACAAATTCACTGCAACTTAAATTAAACTAATAAATTAACACAAAAATTCTATGAAAGCTCGAAAGTAACGCTAGGAAATTAAAATGGCTGCAGACACACAGATATTGCGCTTCCACCTTCCTTGAATGTTTAACGCCGAGTGTTAAATTATTATGAGACATGGTGTAATAATAACAAGGTGTTGTCAGTAACTTAACCTCACTTTTTCGGTAGGTCTATTCCGGTCACGCATTTTAAAGTAGTAGAAAAGGTGGTAATTATTTACTACTTTTAATCCGTTGGTGCATACTATTTCAAATTAAATGTAGAAAAATGTATAATTACAGGCTTATAAGCCTGAATTTATGTTTTCATCGGCAGCTCCACACAGCTTGGATATATATTGTAACCTAAACAAAGCAAAGGCAGTAAAATAAGGCAATTTCCTATAAGACTAAATGATTTTTTAAATAGATTAAAACACATAAATATCGATAATATAAGCGAAATCGTAATTTAACCATGCTGCCACTCTATTCTAGTGTATCAGTAGTCCATTTGGCTCGATATTAAGACAATGCAGCAAAAGTTATTTACTAAAAAAAAAATCGTCCCTCCATACGATTTTTGTGTACGTCTTTTCCATTGATAACTACGATATCTTTTGTTTTATTACATTTTGAGGACAAAAATGATAGAAATTTAGCAATTTTAGATATTAATATCGTTCTGAAAACACCAAGTTATTTAAAAATCGCCATAAAACGAATTACTAAAATGGAGTATTTTAGATACTATTTCCCAACGAATAGTAGTATAAAAATTAAGATCGGCAGCACTGAAAATAAGCATGCCGATCTTGTCAAAATTACAACAAACACGTCGCTACTGACAACAGGTTTGTATAGTAACTTCTCCAGTAAAACATTGCAGCCAGAGCGAAAAAGCAAAATAGAGCGAAAAATTGAGAAGAAGAGAAAACTAGCAGAAAAAGTTAATGAACACAAAACTAGCAAAAACTTGCAAGTGAATAGTGGTTGCACTGTCTTGACATTCTGCTGTAAACCTTTTACTATTTATAAATCAGTTTTAAACTCTTTGCTTTACACACAAGCACTTACACTGCCCAGTACATGAATATTTTGATTTCCACTCATTTTACTTTTGTTTGTGCTAAACCGATTCAACAAATGGCGGCTTTTGACATTTATTCTTCTTCTTCTTCTGCTAGCTAATTTCTGCTAGTAAAATTTTCACTAGCAAGAACCTAACACCTTGTTATTATTCCACGATGATTATGAGAGTACATGCAGAATATTTGCAAATGACAGCATGACTGTGTTGCCACATCTAAAACCAAGCATTGAAAGTAGGATCAAAAGAAAATACGATTAAAAGGAAAATACGATAAGGTTCTTTTGTTTAGATTTAAATAAATAGTCATGGGTCATATTCCCCAATTCTGCGTAGTAAGGGTTATAATCCCTAAGCGCGGCCGAAGGCCGCCTACGCAGAAAGGTGTTCTCTGCAAAAGGTGTTCAGCCCCTTTTCTTTGGCAACACAGAAAGGAGAATTCTACGTAGTGAGGGTTATAATCCAGGGTTATGAACCAAAAATACAAGATCACGCCTTCTTCTTAGTAACCCGTTATAATCGCATTTAGGAAAAAAGTTGGGCGACTTTGACATTAGCCGTTTGTTTATATTTGCTCGTTGTTTACAATTTGGTGGTGGCTTTTTACTGCAATTTTCTTAATTTTCGCTTGTGACAACGTGTGCACACATAAGGTAAAGAATAATTTAACACAACGACATGATTTATAGAAGAATTTGCATAATAAAAATGATTATTCATGCGTTCAACAATTACGTGTTTTTTTTCTGTTCTCTTCGTTGTTTACTTCTTACAACAAAGATGGCGTCGAGATTTCAACAGCTAGAAAATAACTTTTTTCTTTCTTTGGGGAAGGCGTGATCTTGTGTCTTTCGTTCATGGTATTCTGCATATACTCATAATAATTTAACAATATTTCATAAAAAAGCTGTAATATACTAAAACTAGTAATTTGTTTGGTCGTGCACACTCTAACTGCACATATATTGAGTGTAAATAACGTGTAAATTTAGTGGAAAGTGCATTAAATATTGAGAAATAGTGCCATACTAGTTTGTTAAATTTACAAACTTTAACAACAAATTACTTAAAAACTACAAGGTTCCGCGCTTTGAAACTTTACATAGATAACAACAACAAAAGTCACCTCTTTACCCCCTGGATCCGGTCACCCATTCAGACACAATCAGGCAGGTTCTGTAATTCCGAGTAAATTCCAACCAAAGCCACTTTGAATTCATATTGAAATTCATCGGAAGTGAATTGCAGAACCTGCCTAAATAGCCCGAAATCATTGGGCAAATAACTAAACCGTACCCGACTAGTTTTTAATAGTGATTATTTATACGTATATATGTTATAAAATATAGGCGAGGGTATCGATGATGAAAGCAAAGATGTCACGGAAAACGACTTCATGGATAATTTGGAGATTGGCGAAGAAGACGCCAAAGCATTTGAACGTTTCCAAAACCCACAGGAGGGCAAACGTACATTAAAGTTATCTGACATTATTATGGAGAAGATCCAAGAGAAGCAACAAGATATACAAAGTAAACTCACCGAAGATGGCTCCCTAAAAATAGAAGATGTAGACCCGAGGTATGTGACAACATATTTTCTAAGGTTTATATTAGTAGCATTCTTTGCAATCCAGCTAAAAAGAACATTACAATAACGAAATACACCCGAAGCAACAACAAAAACTCTGGTATTTATCCGAGTTCAGCGGGGTTGGTTAAGGAGCCCCGCACACTACAGATTTTATGGGCCGCCAAATTATTTGGGCTCGCTTGAAAGACAGGAAGATGTATAGAATTGTACACAATAAACCAACTTAATAGTTGGATGTGCCACCCACATGCGTTCCAACTAAAGAGCGAAATACACAACACAAGGTGCTTGACGAACCAAGCGAAATATCTGCTTCAATCCATTTGTATTGTCTATGGGGGTGTTTGAATGTTTGACAAACCGCTTGGGGGAATTTTTGATTTTCTGGCCGCCATGTTGACGTTTGATCAAACCGCTTGCGATGTGGATAGTAAAATCGCCTCATTTGTAACGGAATTTTCACCGTGTGAGGACGTAAGGGAGATAAATGGAAGAAAATCAAACTTTTTTACATTGTGAACCGAAACAAAACTAAAATTCTGTGCCTGAACGACTCATGTTTGGATGGTGTATGGCAAAATGGGAAAAGTGTGTTTGAAGTATGTTTGACAAGCCGCTGGTGTGGTGTATTTCGCTCTTTAAAAGTCTGCCAACTATCGCTAAAGCAGTATCACACGATTTGTATATTTGTTTGTTAGTCACAGAGTTTACAGAGTGACTGTAAAGACCGAAATACACCACCCATTTGTGTTGAGTATGGGGGTGATTGAAGGTTTGATAGCCCACTTGAGGGAAATTTAAACAAAAATCTAAATTTTGTGTTAAATTTGTGTTTGGTTAAATCGCCTCATTCGCAAAGGAAATTTAGCCGAGTGAGGACAAGGTTGTGGCAATCCTTCAAAAACATCATGATTCATGAACATGGTTGTGTCAAAAACAGCTCATTTTCTTTGTTTATGTATTCATATTCGTATGCACACAGTTTTTAAGGAATGCAGTCATTTTAAATTATTCATTTGTTGGAAGTCACAAGTGATTTAGTCCTGACTGAGACTAAAAAAAAATGTGTTTTATTTTTTCTGATTTGTGCTTTATAAATCATTACAGTAAAACCCGCTTAAGTACCTCACGAATAATGTCAACTTTTTGAGGTACTTAGGCGAGTTGGGTACTTAAAAGAACCCGCATAATTACTGATGTAGTTACATCTTCTTGTTTACTTACATAAATACTTGATTAACAATATTTCATGAAGTATACATAGGTTAAAACCAAAATCGTAGCATTATTTTAACACATGAGAAAGTAAAGAAAAACTTTACTAAAAAAAATATGTGTATAGTGCAATGGTATGTCATTTTTACAAGAATTAAATTGTTTAAAAAAGTCAAAGTTGGACATATCATTTTGTACCAAATTCGAAATGATATTGTTTGCCTCTTATGTTTATTTATTAATTTTTTAGATTTTTCAATCAATTAAAATACAGTTCATTCCCTAGCAAATACCATATAAACCTAAGCTTAAGATTTTGTAGACCACAATTTCAACCTTTTTTCTCAGAAGTGTTTACAGTTCAATTTCGGTGTAATAATGTGCAAGTTTCAAGTGGCTAAAAATTACCTTTGAGTTTTTTTTTTTTTTACCGAAGGTGTGTAGCGCTGCTACTGAATTTCAAAACACATATAAATTTTAAGAGAGCACTTAAAAGGGAAAAATTCTAAGTAAAATTGTAAATGGGACACGAAAAATATAGGTACTTAGGCGGGTTGGGTAAATAAGCGGAGAGGTACTTAAGAGGGGGATTTTCTTCAGATTATATTGAAAAATTCACGGTGTCCAAAATCGTTGGTCACTTAAGCGGGTTAGGTACTTAAGCGGGGGGGGTACTTAAGCGGGTTTCACTGTACTTGGTAGTCACTTGATTCCAGTCCTTGGATTGCATTTTTTTTATAATTTTTTTGTTAGTCATTTAATTTCACCCATTGGATTGCTTTCTTTTGCAGTACTTTGAAGTTTTTTTTGTTGAGAATGTCCAAATCACATTTGGGCTGAGGTGGAGTTGGAAGGATTTTATACTGATCTACATACATATACCCTACAAACCATTTTTTTCAGAGTATTCTGAATTGTAGAGAAATTCGAGAGCGCGCGGATGTCCAAAGGTGTTTCCGCTATCTGGGATATGGCCACAAAAAGGCAGCATTCAAAGACCCAGACAGAAGCAGTTCATGCTGGAAATGTGGTCAGCAGGGCCATATAGCCTCTGCATGTAAAGAAAACCCAAGCTGCTACCTGTGCTCGGCAGGAGATGGACAGAAAAATGCCAATCGCCTGCCCGGGTCGGGAGCGTGCAAGGCCTTCAGGGATGCCCTTGCTGAGGCTAAGACAAAGCTTGGGAGAATATGATTAAATTTATACAAGGCAATATGAACAGGAGTAGGGTAGCTGATGACCTGCTGGACCAATTGGTTCTTGAAAAAAGAGCAGACGCTGTCATCATCAGTGAACCCTATAGAACAAAGGAAACCTGGCATGTTGACCAATCAGGCTCGGCCGCGATATGGATTGCTAACCCCAACCATCGCGCAGAGAGCAGCGGGGCCGGACGCTGCTACGTCTGGGTGAAAATGGCGCAAATCACTCTGGTGAGCTGTTACCTGTCTCCAAACGACACAGTCCTTGTCTTCAGGGAAAAGCTCGAAGACCTTGAAGACGAACTGCGCGATATAACCGGCCACATAATTGTTGCTGGAGATTTCAACGCAAGAGGCGTGGAATGGGGTATGCCCCAAACAAACACCAGGGGAAGACTGGTCCTTGAAATGGCAGCCCGCATTGGCCTGACCATCCTCAACACCGGAACGACCCCTACATATCGAAGGCCGGGTTTTGGATACTCTATCCCTGACATAACCCTGGTCGACGGGCTGACGGATGGAGAGTGATGGAAGACCTGAGTGGTGGCGACCACAACTACATCACCTTCGAAGTCACTAACACAACGCAAGGGCCACATAGTATCCCTCGCAGAAAAAACCAGGATAGAACCCGTCTAGGGTCGATGTTCGCAAGTTCGACACATCACTCCTAGCAGATTCCCAAGGTATTTCACCGACAACGGGAGAGATCCACAACAGGGAGTCTTGTGCTAAGCTGGTTGAAGAAACCATGCGCTGCATTCACCGGGCATGCAAAGCCTAGATGCCGCAGAGGAGAGCATGGTGAGGTAAAAAGCAGGTATACTGGTGGAATGACCGAATTGCTGAGCTGCGAAGGGCCTGCCATAGAATGCGGAGACTCGCAACGCGCGCTCGTGGTAGACCCGAGGCGCTGACCAGAGCAGCAGCCTACAAAAGCGCAAAGAAAGCACTTGGGGCCGAGATACAGAAGAGCAAACGGAACTGCTGGAAAGCGCTATGCGACGAAGTGGATCGCGATCCCTGGGGCCAGGGATACAAAATAGTGATGAAAAAGTTCCATACATCATCACAGGCGATGGATGAGGCCCGAGTTAAGAATATAGTGGATGCGCTATTTCCCACACACCCACTAAGAGCCGACACAGTGTTCGTCGAGGAGCAAGCCGAGGCACCACTGTTTTCGACAGACGAGCTGAAGCTAGCCCTGCGAAGCATGAAAGCCGGCAAGGCTCCAGGCCCAGATGGCATACCAGCGGAGGCAATCAGGTTAGCAGCGGAAACGAGCCCTGATCTTCTGCTTAACATGTACAACAGCTGCCTTAGGGCCCGGGTTTTCCCAAGCCAATGGAAGAAGGCGAGACTGGTGCTTATACCCAAGGGCAAAGGGGACCCAAACTCTCCTTCATCCTTCCGGCCACTCTGCATGCTAGACACAGCAGGCAAAATGATGGAGAGTCTGCTCAAAATACGCTTGACGTCAGCCATAGAAAGCGAGGGAGGCCTTTCACCCCGACAACATGGCTTCAGGAAGGGACACTGAACTATAGGAGCAATTGGCGAAGTAGTCGAGGCGGCACATAAGGCCGAAGAAGCCTGCCACCAGGCGCGGCCAATAGTACTCCTAGTCACACTAGACGTCAAGAACGCCTTCAACTCGGCAAGATGGGACGATATGCTGGAGGCCTTGGAACGGTCATTCAAGGTTCCAACATACTTGCTAGATATGATCCGGGACTACCTCAGAGACCGTTGGCTTTTGTACGACACAACACAAGGTCAGAGAAAGAGACGTATAACCGGCGGAGCGGCACAGGGGTCTGTACTTGGCCCGGACCTCTGGAACGCCACGTATGACAGTCTGTTGCGCATGGAAATGCCGGAGAGCGCCTTCCTTGTCGCCTTCGCGGACGACGTGGCCGCCGTCATAACAGCAAGAAACGTCCAGCTAGCACAGCTCAAGCTAAACCAGGTCATGCGTAACGTCAGTGGATGGATGAGCGAACACGGTCTGCAATTGGCTACAGCCAAAACAGAGATCGTGCTCCTCACCAGGAAACGGATCCCAACAATTATAAACATGATGGTCGGACCTCAACTTGTGACAACTTTTAGGTCTACAAAATACCTAGGGGTGAAGCTTGACAGCAAACTCACATTCTGGGAACACATCCATGGAGTATGTGAAAAAGCTGCGTAGAGCACGGTGGCTCTCAGACGGCTGATGGCGAACGTGGGCGGCCCGAAGCCAAGCCGCAGGAAACTTTTGATGACAGTAGTCCAGTCGGTGCTCCTGTAAATATTGGCCGACGCATTGAAAGTCAAAAAATACCGGATTCAAATGTCTTCGGCCCAGCGCAGAGGGGCACTACGTATTGCTTCTGCATACCGTACAGTGTCCGCGACAATCTCAGTGCCGAAATAGGTCGAGCAGCTGCCGCGGCAAGGGCGCGCGAGCAACTAATCCAGCAGTGGCAACAAAACTGGAACGCGAGCACAAAAGGTCGATGGACGCACACCCTGATAGCCGACCTTCAAACATGGTTGAACAGACCGCATGGGGAAGTC